CTTTACTTACGGTGCCTACTGTTTGCTTGACTCAATTATCTATCTCATCAATCTATCTATATCTCTTCCATCGTGCTTGTTCTTCTCGCCAGGCTTATATATTAAAAAAAAGGGTGCCTCGAACAAACTAGAGTTGCCAGGAAAATTCATGATCCTTCGAGAAACTCCAGCACGCATGCTCCCAGCGTTGAGTGACTTCCTCTGTCGTAACAACCCCTTGTGGTACTTGACAGTTTATTCATTTTTTAACATATTTTTGTAATACATCTCTATGCCACAAGAAAAATGTATATGGAAACACCATAACTATTACAATTAATCTCACTTTACTGATGGGTTATGGTATACAGGGGTGGGAGCACAACAAAGTGGCCAGGACTGAAATGGAGGTAAAGTACCATGCATAGCAAGGTGAAAAATGTTGGTCCTAAGCATTTCCTCTAAGAATCAAAAGGTTTTCCTGTTTTGAGTAGCTCGTATAACCTTATTTTTGCTATTTAAACTACTGTGATAACAGTCTATAAATTTGAATTTCTACATAAAAATACAAACAAAATATGTCTTTGATTATGGAACACATAGAATTGTATATGCAATGTGCACAGTAATGTCAAACACATTTAACTGTATTACGTTTGACATTTGAAATTTGTCAGATGTATTGGGATATTTGCTTTTAACAAATGTATTGGAATATCCTTTAAACTACTACATAATCCTTTGTTAACCTGTGTTTGCATTTTCCACACATACTTGGCAAGTGAAGTTAACTGATCACTCTTTTTGTCCTCTGAAACATGCCTGTAGAAATCTGTTAGATCTGTATTAATGGCATACAGGTACACTAGCAAATGCATATGTTAATAACTAGAGATCTGCTATTCCATCTTTTGTGCTTATCCTTCCTGTGGTTGACTTGCCTCCTGGGATTGTATGATTATTTTACCTTAGTTGTGCTGTAAATAATTTCTCATGGCATTCCATCTTTAGTATTGCTTTCATAGTTCAGATAGTGTTACAAACAATGCAAAAAAAAACTATGTCTAGGAACATTATTTTTCATAATCACTCTCCATACAACCTGTTTAATACATCTAAACAGGCTGTATGGAGTGTTATTATGTAGTATCTGGTCAAATGTGTATTATATCTGTGATTCAAGAATAATGACTTTAGCCACACTTTGTTACTGCAGCAAACTTACAAGTAGAGTCATGCCTAGACTAGTCATAATGACACATTCAACAAAAATACAGGTCTTGAAGAGTGGAGCACATCTTTATCAATAAGGAGTGTATCATATCTACGATTCAAGAATATCTACATGTTTATGCAGAAAAATTTTTAGTGGAGGTTTAAGTAGTCTAATTGATAGTAAAATTAACAATGAAAATGTGGGCATGCAAGACCTCAATAAGAGACTTAATAGAAATTAAAATTACTTTTGCATTATAATGACCCAATATAAAAGTATAGGCCAAAATGGCTTAACATCCCTAATATTTACTTTACTGTTTGAAACAAAATTATGATGTAATTTGTATTTTAGAATATTGTAATTAAATAGTGTTCTATAACTTTCATTCTTGTTTAATTTCATTCATCTACAATTGAACAACATAACAATTACAAACATATGGTGTTTGTCTGTAATTACTAAGAAATGAAAAAGTAAAATTCTTATCTTCTATACACCAATATGCACTACCAGAATTAAATAATGATGTAAAACTGTCTATAAATCATAAATTCCTGTATGTACCTTACATTGGAAGTTAGTGATTTCACTCAATTTTATTTAGTCAGATTTTTTTTACTTTGAGTTTTGCGCTAGGCAAAAACATAAAATTACTCAATATATGGATCTCACTGATGGTGAATGGTATAAAGATGGGTCAGTATTTGCAGTCTGATTACATCATGCTAGTTTTTCACAACTTTAGTATGTTTACAGCTAATGTCATTATATTGGGAGTTCTATTCCTGTTGAAAGTGATAATATATTTATCTTCAAAGTATTTTCAGCAGAAAAATTTAGTTTAATGTATTATAGTCACTTTAACAACATCATTTTCAAATTTATTGAAGTATAATTTATGAGTTTTACCATAGCAGTTGCTTCCTGGTTAGAATATCATCTAAGGTTGTGTATAAAGACATAGTTTGTGGTATTATATTTTGACCTTGATTTTTACCTAAAGATGTGCCATTTTCTAAAGTTGAAGACCCGATAGAAGTGGAGAAAATTAGGAATTACATACAGAAACTTGACAATAAAAACAAACAAGGTGAGTGAGAGGTAGTCTACTAAAAGTAACATTATACAATTACAATGTCTTAAGGTACACTGAGGTTAAATATTTAACTAATTCTTTTATTTAACAGTGTTTTTTATATGTCGTCGTGGAAATAACTCTCAGAGAGCTGTTCAACTACTTGAGCCTAAGCTAGCAGATCTGAACGTGATTTTACGAGACATCAGAGGAGGTATCCAAGCCTGGGCTGAGGAAGTAGACACAGCATTTCCAATATATTAAGCAAGTTATTTTTGTATTAGTATTTCAGTCTAAAATACCATCTTTACTGACTAGAAGTTTACATATGTAATTTTCAAACGCTGTAGAAGTGTTCCTTTTTTCTAGAAATTTTTGTTGACAGTATGCATCGTTATACTTGCATTAAAAATCTCATATCAAACCTTTGTGCAAGCTATGATAAATTTGAGCTACAGTCATGATGAGAATAAAAACACTATTTTGTTTAGCTTGATGCTAAACCAAACAGTGTACTTGTATCTTACTATGTGAATATATGGAAAGAATAAATAAGCTGAATAATATCACCTGAAAGAAAACTTCCGTTTAGCAATGTTTCAGGCAAACTAGATTTAACAAAAAGTATTTGCTTGAAAGTTTGTCTAGTGAAAGATTACTTGGATGATATTATTAATCACCTTCGTGTTCTTTTTTTTTTCAAGATATGAATATCAGATTCTCAATGAGTAATTCATATAAGGCCATTTATTAAACAAGAAATTGTTTTTTTAATGCATCTCAAAAGTTTATTTATTTTTTTACAGTGTAATATGCCTGATTTTTTGTAGTTTTTCAACGTGATATTATAGCTTCATTTGCCCATAATTTAGTGTTTAAGTTACTTTGTTCTTTTATTATTCACTGGAAACTTATGATTTAGCATTCAAATTGCTTTTTATCAGATATTTAGGCAAGGAAATATAGTTAACAGTTTGATCACTTTTGTGACCGAAATCCACTTTATATGAATATTTCACACTAGAACTTTAGTGCATTCCTTACATTTTTTTTCTAGTTTCTGAACTTTTGTTCTGGTTGAGTATTTGATCTCGTATGGGTTAGTTTTTCAAAAAACATTAGTTAATAGACTGTATTAACTAATGTGCTTTCTCTCAATGAATTGTGTAACTAGTACTTACTGACTATTCTCAGAGGACTGAATTTTCTATGTTTATTAGTTTTGCTCTATCAGTATTTTGTAATATCTGCCATAAGGTTCTCCTGTTGTACAGTACACGCAGGAGCAAAAATTGTATACTTTTTTCTTAATGTTCATATGCAAGTATACAATGTATTTGGATATTAACTCCCAAGACCAAAATTAAGGAGATCAAAGGCTCAAAAGTACCTTGGAGTTATATCAAAGAGAACTTGAAAGATAATGGGATTTATTTGGAATACTTCTAGTGTATGAACAACCTTGTAGACCATCTTGTTAACACTACCAACAGATGGCCCCATCTTCATCACAACCTTGTTGACTATCTTGGTTAATACTACCAACAGATGGCCCCATCTTAATCACAACCTTGTTGACTATCTTGATTAATACTACCAACAGATGGCCCCATCTTCATCACAACCTTGTTGACTATCTTGGTTAATACTACCAACAGATGGCCCCATCTTCATCACAACCTTGTTGACTATCTTGGTTAGTACTACCAACAGATGGCACTGCATTGTCAAATGGTCAGGAATTCTGTGTGAGCCAAAGGTGGTGTTGCTAGTAGTTTCACGTATATACAAATCATTCAAATAAAATGTCATTACATTTCTGTACAGTATCAAGTGCTAATGAAGAAAGAAATTAAAGATGAAATTCAGACTAATTGGCTTCACATTCAAATCAGCCTGAGTAAATTTTTGGTAAAGTGATATCAAATTTTTATGGAAATAAAAAATAATTCCATTCATGTTTGAGGATGAAGGAAAGAGCTTTGGGTATGTACAATAGTGCTGTCACACGGTGAATGTAATTTTACACCTTCACTTATTGTTATTGAGGTGAAGGTTTGTCATATATATGTGCTGGAACTTTATATTTTTATTGGTTTCTGAAGTGAGTTTTCAATTAGTGTTTCATATATCACTCTTCAGTTTACCTTAATGAAAGAGATAAATATCAAGTGAAATCATGCAACAGTAAAAAATGTATTTAAACATGGACTTAACCTCTTGCGTCATTAGGAAGGGACTAGGCACAGACATCATAGTGCCCCCTACCTAACTAGACAGTGGTGAACATCTACAACATAGTTTGATAGAAAGCATTCTGTTAATTTTTCTGTACCACACGCATACAGATACTAGAACCAAACATAGCAAAAGGATACATTAATATCTCAACAGATTTATGACAACAAAGGGTTCAAGACACGGGTACACCAAGAAGAGTTTCAACTCAAATATAAATGATAACTAGAAATTTGAAAAGTCTTAGCTCAAATATTCACCTGTCTGAGAAGTCTGCACAACACCAACTACCTGCAATAACCAAGGAATATCAGTTATCCACTTTTAGGGCTACCAAAAGTACTTGACACTAATTACCACAGATCTTGATCAAAACACACATAACAAAGGAATAAGACAATTATCAAATAAACCAATATGCATGGACTCGTATGACAAAACATTCATCTTTTATACTTAAAAACCCTAACACTGAAAACCAAAACAATAAACATCACATCGTAATCTGTCAGCAGTTTATCTGTGTGTGGCTAGAAAACTGTTATAGGAATTCTGTTTTAACATTAAAAAATTGGCAGACTCAAGGGCCTACACCTTCAGAAAATCACACAATTAGGGTTGTATTAGAACAGAATTGAAATGGGAAAAAAAATTCAACCCCATCCTCAAAAAAAAAATATATATATATCTAATGCACTGCCCAAACTTCCAAGGGCAGTCAGATCATAAGTTGGATATGTTTGAGTAGACCACATCATAATATAAAGTGTGGAAGTGTAGACCTTTACTTTCCAGGAGCATAAAGAAAGTAAGGTTTTGGAACTTTTCTGTTTTGCAGATGGTTAATGTTGATCCTCTTGTAGCAACTGCCTGAAGAAAACGTAGCTGTGTATACACTGTCCTGCAGAACTACAGCCATGTTTCTCTAATAATAATAAGGCAGCAGTTGTGGATAAGGAAGTCTTAAACAAAAAGATGCACATATTAATCAAAACTGTTACTTGAAGTGTAGCTGAAAGAAACAAAACAAATTAAGTTTGATTACTTTTTTTACAATAACTTATTTAACCCAGACCTATTTTTCATTCCACATGACCTGAAATATGTCCATATCATAAACTCTAAACATTTTAATAAACTCTTTGCCTGTATTGTGTCACAGAATTTTTGGCATGTACTAACTTTTTTTCATATAATACATCCCATGTGAATCAAGTTTTCTGGTAGGTATATGTTGTGTAGATGGCAAGACATTGTCATGTGACTATCACATATCTCCAGCGGGATAATGTGTTTTTATAGAAAATTTTGGATAAATCATGGTGCTTCTCAGACGTACACTGCTTTACTTCTGCAGCTGTATATTGCTATTTAGCCATAATAAATTTGAAAGAAAGAAAAAAAGATAGCTATGTTTTCACTTGTATAAGATGTTTCCCTCCCTAACATCTCAGAAAAGTAAAAGCAGTGAATTTCAGAGAAGCCCCCAAATTTATCTCAATTTTTGAATACTGGATGCACATAAAGTGTGTGCTGCATGTATAAGATTAATAAATTACATAACTGAAATCAACAGGTCTAAAACTGTTCTGCAAATGATTTTTGAGAGCTAATAAAACAAAAATATTTCATCACAAAAGATTCTACTGTGAAATAATAACTTGGTTTGGTGGCTTTGAAATATTTCAATAAAATTACAATAAAGAAGGGGTCTTGTACAGGGAGTGAACAATGCTCCTGCAGCAAAGGGGTTAGTCATAAAAAAAATGAAGAAATTGTAATAAAATATATTTTTTCAAACACTAAGAAAAGGTAAACTTTTATCATCTTAACTTTTTGCTCTTTTGGGTTATCTACATAATCTTAAGAAAACTCGGACTATCAGTGTATTTTTCAATGTTAATCAAAGTTAGTAGGTAACGTGTGATATTACAGCAGAAGATGTGATCTAAGATGGTATTAATCATTCCCTATTGGACCACTACATGTTGCTACAAATGAAATGTTGTAATACTTTGTTGAATGCTACTGCCAATAACACTATTTGCTCAACAACAGAACTCATCAGGTCAGCCGAACTGGGTTACAGCACACAAAATTTTAGTTGAAACACTTGTATAAAACATCTAGAATCATGTTGTATGTATCTTTGAAATACTATTTCTGTACACATTTTAATATGTAGTACAATGTGACATACTAAAGAAACACAGGGACCACCAGTAGCTTTTTTTTTAATCAAACATCACTGAGAATACAATTCTTAAAAGTACTAAGCTTCATGATGTAAGACTAAATTTAACCTATAAGCAACTCTCAGGTGTTGAATGCACATTTGCATATCAATTTCAAAAGTAAAAATAATAATGATAACTATTTTATAACATTTAGTATAACTTACAAAGAAAAATGGACAGTTCATTTAGGAGCTCTACCTGTAAACAATACACTTAAAAATGTTTTTTAGAATTTTTCTGTCCACCCCAAAGCTAAGTAAGTATCATCCCTTGAAAATGTAATCCTCAAAGTTTCTTTATCTGATTTTATTAGTACAGCCTCTTGTTCCCACACTTTGATGACCTCACCATGAGCTACTAATGAAGTTCAGCTTTGAAAATAGCTACAGGATAAGTTTAATACCATTGGATAGAGTAGGTTATTAACTATTTACATCAATTTAGAGTGAGTAAAATGGTGTGAGAAGTAACTCATGATGTTGTGAAAAAGTAATTAGATGTAGCTCCTGCAAAGAACAATGTAATTTAGTGAGATGTTTGGAAAGCTTAGGAACAAACTATTGATCTGGGAATTTTGTTTTAATAGTTTTCCTTATTCTTTTCAGTTCTGAAATTTTTGTGTTAAATTATATTTGTGTAAATGTTTTATGCCAAGACATTGGTTAGGCCAGTAAGGTTTAGCAAGTACGGTAATACTCTGATGAATGAAATCCTTATTTATTAAATATATTGTTAAGTTTATCATATTCACACTATTTACATAAATAAATGAACTTATTATTTATTGAAATGAAACTATATTTATTAGATAAAACTTACCCTAACCAAAATTAATATTGACAAAAATATTTTTACCTTGTCTAATGTGATAATATAGGTCATAGATTACTCATATATTTTTTCAGTCAAATTAACTATGTTTTTTTTATGGTTTATAGCCAGGAGCTGTGACTACCACAATAAGTAAAATAAAGTGTCAAAGGAAATATTTTACTAAACATTAATCAAGTTTAAACTGATTGTATATATAAAATGGAACTTCCTGATCAACAATAAGAAAAACTGAAGTTTTAATACAAAAGGAAATATTTTTATTGTTTTTTTCAAAACAGTCTCTTTACAGAATTTTGGAAATTTCACATAAAAATAAAATAAGAGAAAGTAAATCAAACCCAGTTGTTTATTTGTTTTTTTGAAGTGAAATTTATGGTTCATCAGTACTGCTTGGAAGAACAAAGCAAATATATAAAGCCTCATATGGTGGTGGAACATAAGTAATGTTTGATTTTGACATATAATTCTTTAGTCATGTATTTTAAGTGTTTGAATAACTTGTCTATACCATCACAATTAACTACTCATTATTCTTCAGTAGACTTACTTTTTATTTATTTGCTTTTCCAGGTAGTATTGATGAACCATGAATTTGGCAAAAACTATAGTCTGATGCAGTAGGAGTAGCAAATCAAAGAATAGATTAGCCTTCTATATCATCTTTTCTTCACTGAAATACACATTTTGATAAAAAAAAAAAGAAATTCATTATTAATACTTTCTCGTATGTGATACAACATTAATAAAATTTCTTACTAGTAATAAGATACTTACCACTGAAATTTTAAGTTTACCTATGATATGTTTATTCTGAAACTTATTTCAGGATGAAGAACGTTTTTATAATGAAATCTTGTAATGTATATTAAATTGTAAAAATATTTGTTTGGAAGCTGTTTTAGTGAAACTTTGGGCATAGTAGGTTTGAGAACTTTAATGGACTGCAACTGCCTATTGAAAGAAAAGATGACATTTCAGCTTCTATACTGACGCCTTCTTCAGGTAACTGTAAGTACTTGTGTAGTGTCAGAAGCTGGAATCAGCATAAAATTTTACACAAAACTCACTAATGGAAAGAAAGAAAAGTCAAAGACGTTATCTACATCCACAATGGCTTACACATCAGCGACCTGTAGATAATATGATGTCACAGTCCTACTGACAACACCCACTCAGCCTGAACTTTATCATATGACCGTGCTTACCTTTATAAGACACTACACAAGTACCTACAGTGACCCGAAGAAGGCCTCAGTATTGAAGCCAAAATGTCGCCTCCTTTTTTTTCATCAGGCTGTTGCACTACATTAAAATTCTCAAACCTGCTTTTATTTCTAACTTCTGATTTGTAATTCGCAGGAGTAGTAGAGGTGTAAAAACAGTGACTAATAATTGTGAACCAATTATAACTAATCCAAGATAAGTAAAATAAAAGTAAGCAGTACAGTTACCAAAACAATGGAAAAACTCAGAATAAGAAAATAAGGTAAGTTACTTTTCAGTTCCTAGTTACTTTATCCAGCGTACTATACATGAATCTTATAAATGATTTTTATCTTCTTTTTTTTTTTTGTTGTTCAGTAACAAATTACTTGAGACAGATAAAAGAACTTCTGGTAAAGAAAGGTTTAAACACATATAAAAGTAGAAATTTTCCATGCCATGTACTGTACAATCACTTCAAAACTATGTCAAGATATCTAATGCTTGTAAGAAGTGCAAAGAAATATTGAAAAGCATATAAATATGGATGTAATGCACCTATTTCCGAGTTATATGGTGTATCAAGTGTCAAAAAAGTAGCCTGGAGCAAAGTAATTATTGGTAACAAGTAATTTTCTTTTATGCCACACAGATGTATTTCTTTGTGTCAAAGGTCTCTCCAAAGACACACAGAGGATATGCAAACAGCATAAATTATAACAGTACATCAAAGCCACAACACAATACAATTAATACCCAGCAAGCCACCTAAAGTCCCAACATCCATTATGATTATGGACTCCAATATATGGAGAGAAAAAAAGACCGACAAAAAGCAGAATTCAGCTGAGGAGTAAACTTACAAGATTCTTTAATACCAATCTGTACGGAATAGTCCATCAGATCAGAGAAGATTATACAATAAAGGGAATTATACAGAAATAATAGGATATGGACCAAAAAAAGGGTAATAAAAGAAGCCATCTGTACATTCACTTAATTGATGACACAGTCAGTCTAGCATAGAAGTCAGTAAAACCTAGATACCTTTTCCCAAAACTAAATAGTAGTTGATTCAAGCTGTAATGGAGATAAAATTGTTTAAGGTGTTTTCAAAAGTTAGAATTAAATAGATGACACAAAAAATGATGGTAATGTTGATGTTTCAGTTCTAAACCTTTCTTCACAAAACTAATCTCAAAAAAGTTTGAGATTAAAGTTTTTTTTTTTAAGAAGAGTTTAGCCCTGAAATGTCTACATTACCATCATTTGTTGCGTCATATATTTAACTGTTCCCTATTTTGTACATTTAAACTACATTTATCAGTTAAATTTTTTTTTTTGCATTCTAACCCAGTTTTTTCAACAAAATATTTTACTGTAAATGAAGATACCTTATTTCAGTGAATAGCACACCACTTTCTTTAGAATACCCATGATTGAATCCTAGCTATAGGACTTCCCTATAGATGTCAGCAGGTTAACAGCAGAAATGTAAGATACAAACTACTTATTACCTAGTAATAATAAAAAAATAGTAACTAATTAACAATTAGTCTTAGGTAATCCTACTGGCTACTAACCAGGACAATGACTGATATTTGATCATCAAACTGTACTATGAGTGAATAAAAAATTTTCATATAAACTAGTGACTTTTGTATTTAATTTTTTACTTAGAGGTGGTGAAATATTCCACACAAACTACCTAGCAAAAGGTGTAAAAATATAATTAATTTTTACTAAACAATTTTAGCTTAAAGATGTTCATAAGAATTAAAATGTATTAGGTGGTGCTATCCAGTAAATACTGATATTAAATCATTTCCATCTAAACTGTTAAATATAAGGAGTTTAAAGAATGGCTTCTGTCTAAAAAACATTTAAAAATTACTTAATATTGAATCACTTAATATTCCAAACTTATATTATTACATGTGGGTATCTATCTGAAATGAATTCATAAAATATGTTAAAGAATTGTCTTGTATACTGTGTATAACTTTAGTGCATATAAAATATTTCAAATGGAAAATATAAAAAACTATATATAGAGATTAATCAATGTTGACAGTTTATTAAACAGCAAGAGATCCATGATTAACTTAATCATACTCTTCGAATACAGAAAGATTGTAACATTTTATTAAAATAAGAGAGACAACAACTTCATTTCACTATTTTTTTATTCACATTCAATTAATATTTCTATTTGAACAGCACAGTTTCTAGGAACAACTTGTCTCCAAGATGCTGAAACAATCTCTATTTTCAAAAATTATGTTTAATGATATTACTAGTTAATCTTATAGTACTGTTACATTTCCAAGCAATAATTACTGTAAGTACAAGTTTGATATCATAAAATTTTTTTTTTTAGATATCTACGTTACAGATTGAAGTTGTTTCATGGTAATATGCTACATTTTAACCTAGAATTCCATCATGTTGAGAAGAACCTCCACTCTGGTTTGTACAGCATATGTAAAAAGCACTTGAAATGTTGACAAGCATGTGGAAGAGCTAAGAATCACTGAGAAAAATATATATATTTGGATTTATTAAAAAGAAATATAACATAAACTTAATTTTTTTTCTGAAATTTCAATTTCTTTTAGTTTTATACTTTTGCCCTTTCTAATCTTCCAGAAACATGAACATTTTAATTTTTTACATTATTGTTTACATACCAATTATCATAATACTTCATATGTGGTAATGAGAAGTAATTCCAATATACATTTTTTGTGAAAGAATACTAATATTTCGGCACTAACTTTAGTACAACTTAAAAACATTTACTGAACCAATTAATAACTTACTATACGCAACTTGTGTGTAAAAATAGTACTGACATTTGAGTAAAAAGTATTATATCCTATGAACACTAATTTAAAAAAAAATTGGCACAGATGAAGAAATAAAAATTAAATTATATTTCAAACTTTCATATTTTTAGGAATAGAAATAATGTCCTTATCCAGAAAATATGTACTGAAGGTTTGTAAATGTGCTGTCCAAAAGATGTATCTAAAGGTGAAAATATAATATTTACAACCATTTTCCTTTCCTGAAGATGTATTTCAGGTAGATACTTGCCTGTCTGTACCATTAAGAGGTATTACCTCGAGTGCAACTGCCCTGGAATTTCGAGCCTTGAACAAACTCCCACCCCTACACGTGTCTTCATGTATTGTGCAAACCTATGATATAATCTTAATAATGCTGTGTCACCCACAAATAGGAGAGTGATACTATTTGCACATGCAAAACTCCCCATGAGCACTAGCACATGATCACAGTTTCATTCTTACCAAGGCAAATAAAATGCACCAGAAGTGGGGAGGAAGGATGGAAAGGTGGTGAAGGGACATATCTATCTGCAATATATCTTCAAGTAAGGAAGATATCAACTTCAGAAACTACTTTCCTCTCTGCACCAATAAGAGCTAGAATCCCATGCTGAAGATTGAAGGGGGGCCAGTGCAGACCAATTACAAAGATAAGTTTCTTTCTGAAATAGCAACAAACAGAGAAAGTCCATGGGATGCGACTTTCACAAAACTAGGTGTTGCCTAATGTACCAACATCCAGTGGGAGACCATATCTTCCTCAAGCAGGGAATACTCTTCACCTAATTTGTTGGTAATATTCATATTACAGAGAGAGTAGCACAATATACATCGGGAAAATCAAGTGCTGATTGCAACATGTCACCAAGGTGGGCAAAACTTTAAGGGTCTGCAGTGTGGATAGGGCTTTAGGCCATTCTGTCTTGGTGAAATACTTGCTAGAGATAGATACTGTAACGATAGGTGAGGGAAGGAGGAGCTCACATCTGTGTTCTGAGGTAAATCCAAGTCCTTTTTGGTTGGACATATCCACTGAGAACTGCTTGGGAGATACAGTAAAGGTGGGTCCATATAGACATCCATAGCAGCTTGGAACTGAGAGAGTAAGAGTCCTCCTATGCTCCACTAGAGCAATGGGAAGGGGAGATATACCAGTGTGCATGGACCACTGTCATCAGACACAATCATTTGGAATTGGATTCCCAACGAGAGAGAGTGTAATGGCAGAGATACACCTGTTGTTCTAAAAGATGTAGAAATGGCCATGTCAGTTATATAAAAATACTGCCACAGCAGTCTTGCAAAAATCTCCATCGCATTGGTGGGAACTGAGCAGGAACAGATGGGTTTAATGCTTTCTGTTCTCTCCCACTCAATAAAGATTTCGGTTAAATATTCCCTGTGAGGCAATACCAGCCACTCAGTGGGATTTGATAACACCAAGTATAAGGAATTGAGTGTTTATTTTCTCTTCTTACAATCAATCTGGTTTGCCTTGCCTCTTTTTTGTATTATCTCAGTTTTTTGTGTTATGATAATTGTGTAACGTGTTAGAATGTGCACAGAAATAATGGCACATAGTTAGAAAGCCAGGAAAATTTTGAGAGGTAAGTGAATTTATCTACTTTTTGCAAATTATTAGTCTATATTCTTTGGTGCATTATTTAATTAAATAAAAATTATTAAATGCATTACTATCTATAGTATAAAAAATTAGGGTCAACTCTCTTCGAAACCCAACAGCAAGAAAAAAGTAGATTGGTTAAGTATTTTATTTCTTGTTTATTCTTTATGTATAATTATAAAAGTAACTACAATTTAAATTAGGGATCCTTTTAGGTTTATTAAGATTAGATTAGGTAAAATAAATAATAATATTATAATAAAAATGTTTCATGTAGCACACACATGAGCATCTCGTGAGCTGCACGTTCCCCGAGTGATTTACAACTTATAATGGCGTGGATAGTAATTATACACGGTTCAAAGGGCAATAAAATGGAATTGTAAATAGATGTATACTGTTACAAACTTAGAGTTACTTTGGAGAATGAATGTAGTTTCATGTTACAATTTGAAGTCATTCTAGAAAGAAAAAAGGTAATTTAGGTTTATTTTGATTTTTTTCTTGGTGGTTACAAGGTCGGTTGAATTGACCGATCCTGTTTTGAGATAGGGTAGAGAAAATAACAGGTTATCTTAGGACATGAAAAGAGCTTTATATGTAATTGTATGAAACACAAAATGTGAAACTGCAAGCTTGCAAGTATCTTTACATGGACCCAACAAATCTCATGCCAAATTTGGTGATGATCCATCAACAGGGGGCAAAATAGTGGTAAAAAATGCAAAAACTCCCATAAAAACTACAAAAACTGAAAAATCTGTATGTATCTTCCCATGGACTCAATGAACCTCCATCCAAAGGAGACGAGTTAGTGGTAAAAACTGCAACATGCAGAACTGAAAATTTTTATGGATCTCCACATGGACCTGATGAAACTCCATACCAAATTTGGTAAAGATGCATCCACACCCTGCAAAGTATTTATGTGGACAGACAACAGACAGTACTATTATATTTATAAAGATGTATACAAATAAACTTCGCATCAAAATGTAGTAAGTCAAATTTTAATATTATATGTTTTAAGTTCTTAATTGTATCAGGAAATATTTCTAAAAAATCCTAAATCTCCCCTAATATGAGAATTGTGACATTTGTTTTCTAGGTCTTCCCCCTCCTCTAATTTACTTACCACTCCTCTCTGAAGTACAGAATTTAATGTAACTTACTCATTATAATATAGCTATTACCAAGAAATATTTTGATAGCCTTCAATTTTATTTGTTTATGCAGTCATAAACAAGAAAATGGGAACCACTTGCCACGCCCATCTGTCACATTTTCTCTTTCACAAATTACCAATAGTTCTCTCTGATGTTTTATACTATATTATTTATAACGAATAGAAAAATAAAGTTTTACTCTATCAAATGATGTATTATATTACATTGTTTTCAGTATAGAGTATTGTCTACTCCTTTAGTTTCAAAGTTTCTCTCACAGTGTTTGTTTCAAGAAGCTTAAATAATTATTCTAAAGCTCTTATGCCAAAATAGAAAGCCGGTTAAATTATCATAGTTATAAGACATTGTTTGCCTTACGTATGTTATTTTTCTATGTTCTTAGTTGCATTATTTAAGTAAACAAGAGGGAATCCTCAATAGTCATGGCACTTGAAATTCTTTTAGGCAGGACAGGATTAAAGTAAATTAATCTATGAAATATTTTTTTCCGTTATATTAGCATTATTTTTATGCACCAGCAATACCAAGTATAGGGTGCTCGTTTACTGGATTTAATTTTATTACTCATCAGGACCTCTACCAGCCTATCCTGAAATTGAAATTCTTTTAGGCAGGATTAGTGTAAATTAATCTATGAGACCTTGGGTGTGGTCAAATACATCAACTGAAAGTGTTTGACCTCCTGAGTCTGAAACTGTGATTAGATCTCAAATCAGTCAAGAGATGACAGAGCTATGAGATAAAAGTTTGTACTTGAAAAAGAAAAAAAACAAAGCAGAGCCATTTTATGAGCCACAGTTAATAAAAAGTATTTAGAGTATTAGTATAAGAAAAGTAGGCTTAAATTTCATCAGTAACTGACAAGAAATATACGAGGTCAAAGGTAAATACTACATATCTTGTTTTTCATCTAAATTCTTTATTTATTGTAATAAAAGTTACAAATATAAAAATTAGAGAATTATTAGATTGGATAAGGTTATATTAGGTAAGTTAATGAAAAATGATAAAAATTCTTCATGAGGTATGTTTATGAGTAATTCTTGCTTAATGTCATTCGGTATGGTAACAGGAACTACATGTTTGGCGAGTAATCTACAATTTGTGTGGTGGGATTATTAACTAGACAAGGTTCAAAGGGCAATAAAACAAATTACAGATAAACAGATGCATACTGTTACAAGCCTTAAACTATTTAGGATAAACAAGTGCAGTAGGTTCCTGTTACAATCTGAATTCATTCTAGAAAAAAAAAGGGTAATTTGGATTTATGTCATATTTTTAGGTGGTTACAAGGTCAGTCAAATCGACCGAGTCTGTTTAGAGTTAGAGTGGAGAAAATAACAGAAAAAATATAGTTTTACTGAACAAAAATTACATTTACTTTAAAGGTTTTAGAGGTTATGCAAATGAAATTTGAAATTTTTCAGATGAAGCAAAGTATTTTTAATCATGAAAATCACTCTGCACTCAGAGCAGTCAACACTTTGACTCCATATATTCGTGGACAAATCTTTAGTGAAGATGATTAATTCAAAATCTGCAGTAGGGGAGATGATGAACAGAAGTGGGGTTAGTCTGACATGACATCTGAGGAAAGTCAAGACATTCATGGTCTAATGATCCAGGAAACAATGGAAGATTGCTGGTGGGCAACATCAACCTGGAATTCCAAGGAGTTGAGAACACTCCCCAAGACTTAGCCTGTAAGAAAAGACGCAAGATGAAGTCATGAAGAAACGAAGAAAGTAGGTACAAATCCTAAAGGAAAGGATCCAGATTGAGGAGATTCCAAAAATAAAGAAACCAGGTCAAAATAGACAGAAGCCAAAGTGGCAAAATGAGGTCATGATGAAGAGCAGAGATATAGCAAAGGAGTAAGGTAAAGAAAAAACAAAGATGAGCACAATTTTAGAAAGAAAAAGACAAGAAAAAAAAGAGGAGCACCCCAAACAAAGAGAACAGACATAAGAAATTGGGTTTCAAGAAATATAAAAGGACCATGATCTGAGGTCACAGCAAAAAAGTCACAAAGATGAGAAGAACAAGAAAGATGGAGAAAAATGTAGAGTTTGGGACAGAAGGAGATTCAAGTAAAACAACCCAGGAGTCATTATGATATACAAGCAAAAAAGAATAACATGTAGCTGATTTATAAGCATAGGAAATATCTGTTCGTTATCAGGGAAAGAGGAGGCAGAAGCAAAGGGTGAAGGTGGAAGAGCTGGATAAAATCGTCCACAGGAGAAGCAGGTTCCACAGAAGACAATGAAACAATGATAAGGGGCCTAAACTGGAGAAGTAGTAAGCCAAAAAAAAGGAACTAGCCACTTGATGCATGATAGTGGCAAATAAGGTACGAAATACTTCAGCAGATAATCTGTTGTTACACCATGGTTCATCACAACTCTATAAGATGGTGATAATGTAAGTTATCCATGACGTTGATAGTACAACACCAAGGATTGAAATTCGAAAGTTGCCATACGCAAGTGTGTGCTATACTAAGTGAGCTGAAGGAATAACAACTAAATGTCAGCTCCATGAACAGATAAGGTGCCTCCACCATTGATTCAGTAGGATAAAATACCAGAAATGGAATATGTGGGCTTCAAGATTTTTTTTTTTGCATACATTGTTGAAAGGAACAAAAATTATAACTTTGGTGACTAGAAAATATGAAGTTTCAATCAGGTGGATGGAACAAAAGTAATGTAGCACTAAAGAAGAAATGACATTTGATCAAGGCAATTGGAAACTCAAAAAGCACAGGAAAAACCATGTCTGAACACAGACAGTGCTAAAGAAAGAAAGAGGTTGTGTCACCCTCCTGTTGGTTGAGGGCTATAGCATCATGATGATCACATCATAGGTTGGTGCAATACATGTGGACACAGGTAGGATTGGAGTTTGTTCATGACTTGTGCACGTGCAGGAAATTCCATGACAGTTGCATGCAAGATAAGAGATCTTAATGATGCAGAAAGATAAATAGCATTTCTGAATTCTAATTTTTACCTATGATTTAGGCAAGTTATTCATATTTAATGAATTGAAATGGCTATGTTCATTTCTTTCATAATAAATTTCTGTTACTGTTTGGTTACTTATCTAAATGTTAACTTCTGAAATTTAGTGACAACTTTGGATGAAATCTGATAAAACCAAATTCAAAAACTGACTTGTTATTAAAATACTGCATGTAATATAAAACAATCTTTCAGGATGCTGTTAATATATGTTAAAAAAAACAAGGCATAAGAAGTGAACATTCATCGTTATATTCTCACCTTTTACAGCTTGAATGTGGGATACAAGAACAAATACGGTGATTAAAATGTCAGTGACTTGACCAATTTCACTGCCTTGTCTCCACAAAATAGATGGTATAAAGAAGATTTTTCCAAAGCTTGTTAAAATTAGGCTAATAAAAAGTTTCTTCCATGGAAAACTAACAAAAAGAATGCTAAAATTAATACATAAAAATTATTTTACATGTTCTCCAATCCACAGTTGAGATTATACAAAAAAAAAGTCATACAAATTACATATACATTGGTGAAATATATGCATCTAACATAAAGACAGAATTTTTGTTAAAATTAATTTTATAAATTTAGTTTCAATTTGTTCTCACTTGGAAAACACTCTGTATGCCTATTAGAAAACAAATAAAAGAATAGGTATAAGATGGGTTAACTAATTTTACTAACCAAAATAGCTTGAATTTAAAGTTTCTAAATATATGTGGTAGTATCTAGAACCATTCTGTACATTTACTTAACCAAAGCTTAAAAAAGTTAACTGCCATTATGATCTAAATGATATATTTGAAAATAAGAAAGATGGTATCAATCTAACTAGATATCCAGTAGATACTAGGAATAATTTCAGATTTCAAAGTAGCTAAATCAAAAGATACAGATCTTATCCATCAAGTTAAAACTGTTTTAAACAGTTTTATACTTTGAAACAATTAGAATAGTACTTTTTTTAACCCCCCCCCCAAATGGTTATTAAGTTTGTTCACATGTGGTAAAGAATATTCTACTGCATAAAAAATAAGACTCCTGTACCTGTTAAACTATAAACATTTTCATTAAATAAAGAAAGAGGTCTCCCATGAAATCTATAGGTGATTAGCAATCAGTAGCACATTAACAAATTAGTAATTAGTTAATAAATAAGCAGAAATACTGAAGTACATAGATTCAGACTAGCTTATTCAAAATATATTTATGTTGTCAACTATGGTTTCAAAAAAGCTTTGTTATTTACAACCACTTCTCTATGTCTTCTATTTCTTTAACTTATTGAATTACATTTAATTATCAAAGAATCAAGTTTCAGTAAGAAATACAATATTTTTTAATAACCATTTATTTATATATATGTAATAATACAAAAATTATTATTACATTTTCTCCCAAAAGTTTCTTTTAAGATAAAACTTTAGTTAGTTAATTGAACAACTTAAGACTTTTATACGCATTCTTTATTCACTCACAATTAAAAGCTTAAGTGTGAAAAGTAACTATAAAGTTACATAATATCCAAAACCTTTTCCATTATATCTCAAATGAACAGTACTATATTTTCAATATTTTAATTTAGTTAGTTGCTAAAAGGAGCTGTTAAAATGATGATAATGCTAGATTTAGAAAGTTTATAAAAGTAGTCCTGGAATAGCCAGAATTTTTGTGACTGTTAATAATCTAGAATCAAAGATATATTGTAAATATGAGAATCAATGAGTCGTTTTTCAATTCGTTCAGTGATTGAGAAGTTAGTGAAGTATTCAAATCAGTGTTAGTTATCATGTATATTTAATTACTTTATCAAACAGCTGTGAAGTTGGACAGATAAATATATTTGTATGTTAGTCATAATATCATTTGCGAGTAGATTTCTGTTGAAATGTGAAAATGCTATTTGTGAACTAACACCTACAACTGTGTACTTTAGCAAATGTTAAGGAACAAATAAACTAATTTGTTTCGTTGCACAGAATGAACTTCTCAGTAATTTTAACCAAGTAAGTTTAAAGAATCCACTGAATGACAAATGATAGAACAAGTTACATCAATACTTTATTCAGACTTGTGCTATTCCTTTAATGTGTTGTTATGTAAACATGGTTACTAATGATACGAAAAATACTACAATGCACTGTCATAGTGGAATCAAAGAACTCACAGAGCCACTGCAAAGTTAAAAATAAGTTTATAATATTAAAGGTACTATCAAATGATATAAACAAAATTTTTATTGTTATTGTCTATTTTTGTCTTCACAGTATTATATATAATTTGTTGAAATAGCTTTTACTATGAAGTGTCTACATACTGAATTTTAATTTTATCCACAGCAATTTCATATCACTTTGCCATTTTGTCAGTAGTATATTTAATTATGACTAAAATGACAATTTAAATATTATTTTTTATAAATTATCAAATGATGAATAAACCTGTCATTCTTTAATAAAATGACATACAACATGTTTCAAATTCCTACTTGACCCCTTCCTTGGTAATGAATAACATTAAAAGCTGCAAAAATCACACACATATCAGAGATTAGTTGGTATGAAAGTGACTGATTATGGATTAATCCATTGCCAATAATAATTAAGTTTTTTTTTTTGTAGTATTACCCAATCCCTTCATCAACAGTTATCAACAAACTGTTTCTGCTAAGTGATGTTTTAGTGTAAGAATTTGTTCTGTCCTTGTTTGAATCTGTGTGACATGCTCCATCATAAGTTGCTATAACCATTAAAAGCTCTCATGTGACAATAATGTCTAGGACTGAGATAATGTAGTTTGTAAACATAATTATTTTTAAAATGTACCTTTAGGTGCAATATGTCCTAGCACTTTCTTTGCATAAGCATATTTGTTAATATGACCTACTGCTATTAATTGTGCAATTTATAGGAAGTTGATGTCAGAAACAATAACCTGAAACAAGATATCATAATGGTTATTTTGTTCTATTAATTCTTTTTTCTTTCTGTCCTACATAGACCTTTTCATGAACCAAAGACAATCTTTCACACCCCCATATTCACATTAGTATATAAAAGTGGCACAGACATGAACCGGTACATAACCAAATTTTCAAACAAGGCAACATTACTTTCATTTAATTGAACATACTATCATTTCTTTTTAAAAAAAATGCAATATCGAAACTTGATATTTATCATCACAGACCCCGTTTAAAAGGCTCATGGATTCCAAGGAATTCATAGACAACAGTTTGAGAGCCACAGATGTAGAAGGTATAATCCAAACTAACTAGTCAGCACATCCTTACAACTAATGCATAACTGTACAAGATATAATACATTTTATATGGATATGACACACAGTGACACTGTAATACAAGACTTAACTAGCAAGTTAAAAATCAGAACTAACCTTTCTCTTTTAGCATTAAAAATGATGTCCATCACATAACCTACAACAGCCAAAAGTAAGAAGTGAACAGCATTTCCTATGAGATAGAAAAACCTGCTTATTTATCTATCTATATATACATACTTATTGGTACATATATTAACTGTGAACATAGCTGAATTTAAAATAAAACTCTACTCAGTATTAATTTGTCCATATTCACACTTTCAAATCTTTAAAGTATGTCTTCAAAATTATTTAATTTATATTTCCAATGACATAATTTTTGTATTGATTGACATATGGACAAAAAAAAATGATACTTGAAGATGACAAATTCTTTGTGTAACAACTTTCCTCTTAATTCAATTTTAGTTTAAAAGTATAATGATTACAAAAAAATATCACAGATTAAGTAGGGTAATTATAGAAAAGATTGTGTTTTTATAACATTTAAGAATTACATTAAATGACAAGTAAGCACAAGTTTATTTTAAGAACATATACTAAGACTGTCATATCACATAATTAAATTTCAACAATGTTCATCAAGAAGTGTTTGTAAAGTGATCACAATCACTTACATCAACCTGAAGTTTAAGTTGGTTTCATGTGCACATACCTAATAAAGCTTTAAGACACATGAGATAGAATCCCCACTCCAGCTCCAGATATACAAGCTCTTCTCTAACTGTACCTACATGAGGCTTAGATTCTTTCTCCATGACCCACATTCTGTAGGCATCACACAGAAGGAATATTGTAGCCAACTTCCATAATGACTGCACTGAAAAACATTACATTTACTTATCCTTATAAAAACAAAACACTAACCTACTGAAAAACATGTATCCTAGCTTCTTTAAGATTTGGATACTGATTCTAAAAGTTTTGTAAATATTTCTAAATATCTAATAGTTTCAAGGGTTTCTTTGCAAGTTCATCAATAATCAAAACAAAAAACACATGACAATTACAATTTACAGTTTCCAAGCCAGACAATAAGTGACCGAGTTATGGATAGCCACATCATTAGCAGAAACCCCATAGTTAATTACAGTACTTCTTGTTATGTAACCAAAGGATTCACTATGTCAGCCTTTTTCTTTCTTCTTCACTGGTCACTGTATCTGTTTTTCAAGCCAAAACCATTGATCATGACTACTCTTCAGTATATCATCATCAATCATCATTATTATTCCCACAATTAGCTGCATGTGCAAGGTTCTGAGATATTAAGCTTGTAACCTGTGCAGCCATTGCATATGTGATCAGAATGGATTCTTTAACAGCCCTTGTTAAGGCAAATCAATGTATCAAGCCAATAGATGTTGTGGTGGCACTCAAAAATAGATTTGTTGTTAAAAAGGATAGTGGTAATAGTAAAAGTAGCCTTCCACTATATCAAATGGTCTCCAACCTCAAACAAACAATGAAGAAAGGTCGTCAAATTTGAGTTGAGAATCAACAAAGAGAAAATCAATTTATGTGTGTGATCATTGCTGGTAAAGTGGTGCAGCCACTCTGAAACCCTGTTTCTTTGACTGCTTATAACTCTTGACTGAAATAAGTTACCATGATATGGATTGAATATTTGAATAGAGTAGGTTCTGGACTTTCCAACAGTTTATGCAACATCTCCAAGAAACAATTGCCAGAATTTCTTGTTTCCTTACCTTGCCACCCATATACATTACTTTGCTGCTGGTTGAAAGAGATTCTGTGATAAGGCTACAGCCCAAAATACAAGTTATTGATTTATGATTCAGTTTCAAAGGGTTCTATGCAAATTTACCACCACTATAAGTACTTAAAGATAATTCTTCATTTAGGCAGTGGTGCATAACATTGTTTTCTAGATAAAGAAAACTTAGAAGAGAACTTTTAGTTTTACTTTTAACTTGTATCATGATGTTTTTTTTGTTTATTGTTTTTTTCAAGTATTTAGCTATTTTCATTTGACTGGATTTTCCCAAAAATTATATGTATTTCTACGGGCCTTTTTTTTTATTATTCACATCAACAATATTGATAAGGGAATAATTAGTAAATTAGTAAAGTTTTCTGATAAAATTAACCCTTAAATACATATGTCTGTATTGGGGATGTTGAAGCACTACAGAATGAGTTGGGTCTATTGGTAAGTTGGATAGATACTTGGCCAATGACTTTTAATTATAGTAAGTATAAAGATGGTGGCATAGAACATTGAAACATGTAGTCTTTTTAAGGCTGGATCATATTCTTAATAAGTTATTTATTGTGCAATTATTTTATGTTGCACTCTTTTTAATTTTAAAAATCAAGTACTTTCAAGAATCTTGTAAAGAAAACAAGTGTCAAATTTCAAGAGCTTTTAAAGCATTGGGTTTGCTATTTTAAAATTCACAGACTTTTTAAGGTTTTCATGGATGTGTGCAAACCCTGAATTTAGTACATGTTTATATTCCCCTACTGATGATGCAATAGATATATACTGTTCCTTTGATGTTATTCATAGAAAGGTTCTTTTTTTATTACACAATCTTCTTTTATTTTACATTTGTTAATGTAAGGTTTCACAACAGAATTTTTACAATCTTTTTCAATGTGATGCTTTATATCATTAAAATGTAGATAAACATAAACATATCTATATTATCTATTCTTGAACTCAAATTATGCCTAATAACCCCTATGTAAAGACTGTTATAATTCATAAATTCTATACTATAAACAGTATCTTTTTCAATTCCAGCTGGTTTAATTCTTTTATTAAAACGTAACTCAACTTTTTTCTTTTTCTTGCTGTATGTTTTAACTTTGAAGAAAAGGATGTTGGCAGAGTGGTAGCTAATTCACTCATTCCACTGAGACAGAGTTCCTTTGTTAGTAATAAAGCTAACAGAATTTTAAGGTGTAGTTATAGACATAGTAAATACAAGTAAAAATAGAAATTATCTCTAGTTAGGGGTCACTAGCTTGGAATACTATGTAAAATTTTAATTTTATCTAAGAAAGGATACTAACTCATTGAAAAGTTTTGGAACAGGGCTACTAGGATGATCTGAGGACAAACGGATTGTTTTATGGATATAGGTTAAGAAAACAAAATTAAGTGACGATCTTATTGAAGTTCACAAGATTATCCAAGGAACTGATGTGATAAGGCCTCTAAATTCTTTGTGCTGTATTCTGAAGACAATAAGATCAGATAGCACAAGTTTAAGATTTGTTAAAAACAGGCTAGGCTCCAATTAAGATAGTTTTATTTTTCTAACAGAGTGATTTAGTTATGAAATGAGTTGCCATTGGCAGTAGGAAAGGCTAACATGTTATGGGAGTTTGAGAGGGAAGATTGAAAAAAATAAAGCATGGGTTTTAAGTCTTTTTTTACTTTTCTTCAGGAGTGGGTGTGCAAACACAGCCTTGAGTAACCAAATGGTCCCTTGTTGTATATATTATACTTGCATGCCTCAAGTAACATTTTTACACATGTGAGTGAAGCTTATGATACTGCACTGAAGAAACATGTATTTTTATTAATTCTTTTTTTTTAATTTGCAGTTTAACAAAAAAAAAAGATATTAGCTTCTGAAATTATAGTTCCATTGAAAAAATGTCACAGTTGAGGCCAACTTTTGTATCTTAAACTAAATAAAAGGATTACATTAAAAAAAGGACTTGCCTGTATTTGCGTGTTATACAAAATGTGTCGGTATGCTTCTGTTTTCTGTAAAAGAGCATCAATGAATATGACAGTAATTTCAACTTCAATGTATTCATCTACAACCTTGCCACAGTAGCTCTGAAAAACACAAAAATCTATTAAAAGTTTATATAAAATGCATAAGGAAAAACTGTTAAGTCTGAGATAACTAAACATATGGCCTATCAACATCTGACTATGAATTAAAGATCATTTTAATAGTTAGTAGATCTATACCCTCAAGTTTTGCATTAATGAGATATTCCTTTCATCCATCCTTACAGAAATCTTCACCTATAATAATATTATACAGAGCACTTTGTAATTAATATATACCAAATATACGTTTATCTACCTCTCTCTCTCTGAAAAATAGGAATTAGTTATTATTTTCCTATACTGAAAATATATTTTAATAGGTCCTTACCTCCCTCTTGTTCAGTGCTGCCCTTTATATGCAAACATTTTTTTTCACATGCCACAGGCCTTGAATTATCGCCATCAATGTGGTTCAACTGCATATCCCATGCAAATCATCATGCAACAACCTTCCACCATTAGGAATGCAACACACCCTCCTGATGCATGTGACTCCCTCTATTTGATTCTACTGAATTATCACTTTGAGACAGAAAAGAAAGCACTGGTTTGCAGTGGGGAGAAAGGGTGGGAAGTTTGAGAGGAGATAAGTACCTATCAGAAATATATTTTCAGTATAGGAAAATAACAACTTCTGATATAGTACATTACCTCCACTCACATGTATAGCTAGAATCTCACATTAAATAGACAGAAGGACTGGTGCGAGGGACAGAAATAAGTATTCTTTGAAAGCATCTGAAAAACACCCATGAAGTGTGATCCCCATTGGGACAGGAGCACATGTGGGTGACTGCACTACTTCTGTACCAGGTATACTCTAGCGCCCAGTGTGAAAATAGATGTCACATACACGGGCTGAAAGAGGAAGGAGTACAACCAAAAAAGGGTGAGAAAACTGGTTGAGTTGGAATCTGAACCACAGTATACTGGAAGCTCAATCCTGTAGAAGAACCATCTACAGAGAGAAATGTGGGGAAAGGTAAAATGGATGTGCTTCAAGGTGTAGAGTGGCTAGGGCATGACCAAACGGTTTCAGGAAATGAATTTCCAATGGTAGGAGGAGGGTCCAGATCAAATTAACCCTTTCCAGATGGATCATGGTTGAAAGGCCATGTCATCGTGTTTGTTGACTTGCATTCAAAATTTTATTGAACTACTATTTCATGAATTTATGTCAATAAGTTTGGTTTAGTATTATACCTTACTCAATTTTTTAATTTAAAAGTAAATATTAAAAAAACGCTACTAAACATCGATTTTTGTGTGTCATGTGGTATGTTGAATGCAGCACTGGTTCAAATTAGATGTTAGCAAAATACTCAAATTACCGATATTGACAAGCTAGAATATAAAAT